TTTTAAAAAAAAAGAAGACCAACACCAACAACCTGATTTTGACACACCTAATACACACGAATCTCACATATTAGTATTATAATTGGTCAATTTAACATTATATATATATATGTTATTATTATTTTTATGTGTTGGCAAAGCAAAGAGTTTCATTACATTTGATTTCCCCCGGGTCTCTCTACACCAAGTACCCACACCAGAGCTACCCCAACTTGTTCTTTAGCCGAATTTTAATGAATTCCTTCTTTCTTTGCATTTAATTTCCTCCCCCCCTCCCCCCCTCTTTTTAATGTAAAACTCAAATTCATCTTCTATACTCGTAACTAAGAATTTTCAAAAGTTTGTAGGAAATTTTAGAAAAAGACTTATGCTGTATTTGGTTGGCGATTTGATGAGAGATTTGGAAAGGGAAATAGAAAAAGTAGGTGAAATGTGAATAAAATATATCTATATTTCACTTAATTTTACACACATTTTCCATTTTCCTTTCTAAATTCATCTCCAAATCCTCCAACCAAATACAACGTTAAGCTACCAAACAATTTATATAAGGAAATATTTCATGTTAATGAAAAACAAGTCCACTCTCGCTGGACCTCCCAACAATTTACCCATATTTTCAAAGGACAATTTTTTTATTTTTTTCTAAGGCTTTTGGTACATCAAATTATTTTTTATATATACCATCCTTAACAAGGATTTTTATTTTTTATTTTTTATCTACCAAGAGCTCATTTGAGAATTGATTATTTTAGTTACTTTTTTACAAAAAGACATAAAAAAAAAAAAAATAATAAAGAGAGTGAAGTGATTGAATATTTTAACTTTTTGACTATTTGACTAATTTTAATCAAAAAGCTAACTTCCCAAACAACCTTCAAGTGTTTGAGACTTTTAAACAAATGAGGTCTTAGGCAACTGTCTACCTTGAGATTGAGTTAGCCTTGCCAATATCGTTGAGCAAATTAAGCGAAACAATATAAACATAAAAATTTGTCAACAAAAATGCACAAAATGCAATACCACCAACAATGCATTAATTTTTTTTTTTTGGGGGGGTTTTTGTTGTAAAAAAATCTATCTACATTTGTAGCATTATTGTTGACTAAAACTTGGCGAAACACCTCTACAACAAAAATTATTCTACGAGACACCACTTGGTTCGTGCCATGCCCCTGCTTTCTCTCCATTCACCAACATGAAGTAGTGGATCTTACCTTCTCCACCAATCAAAATCTTCACGGGACATTCCTTGACCATGCCTCAATTAGCATAGAATAACTTCTCCATCTTGGAACTTTCTTGTCATATCCTTTCAGAGTCACCCAAGGAATTTGCAAAAAGGTGGGGGTCACAAACTCACAAGTAGTGTATTAACTTTTGATTGCTTTCCAATCCTAGTTCTTGAGCTGTAGCTGTGAGTTGCTAGAGGAACACTTAGAAATTTCTTTATCATTCCAATCATTATTATATTCACTTCCTCTTAGCACACAAAGAGCCTTTTGGGGAGTCAAAAAAAATCCGAAAGTGCAGCGAAATTACCCGCTCTTTATTATATTGTCCCCTAATTGCGTAACCAAACAAGTTATTTAATGTTCTGAAATCCACAATTCAAAAGAATAATCCATATGGTTTGACATTCAACAATTCTAGCTTTCCTTCTTCACCAGAACCAAAAATCTACTTGGAGAGTTTAAAGCATGACTGAGTAAATTTACTTGGAATCATAGTAATAATTTTTTAAAAAACACGAGAATCTAAATAATGTTACTATAAAATATTTAAATATAAATTTCTTATTAACATAATTGAGTATAAAGATATGATCATGAATTGAGCACATTTTATAGTCTGCATTAAATTACAAAAATAAATAAATAAATAAAAAATAGAAACAATGATAAATAATCAAATGTGGCACATGGATATGGTTCTTTTTAACGAAAAATTATTGGTTGGTCTTAGGTATCATCACGTGGTATCTCATGTGTATTCTGATTGATGGAGAGAGTAGGGCTTACGGTTTTGTATTGGATGATTAAGAAACATGAGGGAACATGAAAATTTGTGATTGGCTAAGAATAAGACCACCTGATATTTTTGAGCCAATCAATATTTTTTCATTTTTAACATATACCTCTCTTTCCCCTTACATTCTTCAAAGTTCTATTTTCATTCTTGTCCTTAATTTTTTTTTTTTCTTTCTTTCTTTCTTCTTCTTCTTCTTCTTCTTCTTTTTTTTTTTTTGAGTTGTTCATGACCAAATTTATCTTCTTTTGCTGTTATAATTCTTGATAATATCAAATGAAAATTGAAGCTTAATTATGTATCATTCTTGGGGTAATGCATACAAAGTGTGGATGAATAGTGATGTGAACTAATTCCTTAGTTTAAAAAACTAAAAACAGATCATAACATTAAGACTTTTAAAATTTTTCCCAACTTATATAGTAACCCTGTTCAACAACATAAAAATTAAGTAATATTCTCTTCAAACACATCAACCAATGAACCTAAATGCTCATTATGTGGCTTTACACATTATAAAATTGGAAGAGAAAAAAATTGAAATATGGATCTAAAGTTTTGAAGTGCATGTAGTTACCCAAGACTTCTCTTCATAGTCTTTCCCTTCACGTACAAATTTCGTTTATGACCCACATCCCAAAAAACCTAAGTATTTCCATATATTAATTTATTAAAATAATCAAACACAGCTATTTCACATAAGATAGAACTTATACATTTATTAAGGTTTACCTCATGTTAAAGGATTGGGTATGAACTTATACATACCTCACATTTTTAAGCAATAACTTGCGGCTCAAATTTATTTTCAAGGAAACATCACCCATGCCAATAATTTTGGACAAATCTTTATTACTTATTCGAACACAACCATAATCTCTTTTGGTGTAGGTAGTGAAGAAATCAACTCGAGAAGTTATATGAAAAAAAAGCACCGGAATCAATCACCCAAATGCTCTCTTGGCCGCATGTTCCAGACACTCGCCTTGATTTGATCTTTATCGGGAAGTTAGATAATGAAGACTACAACAACAAATTTGGTGATGGAAAATGAAAGCTCACAAAAGGTTCTTTGGTGGTGGCTAAATGCAAGAAGACTCACACACTTTATTCAATGCAAGGAAAAATTTGTAAATGTGTTATCAATAATGCACTTGAGGATGATACTTCTACCGAATTATGACACAAGCGGCTTGGGCACATGAGTGAAAAGGAGCTGCAAGTTTTGTTCATCTATTATTTTGGGTCTTCTACAATTTGTTTTGAAGACTTTTGTTCATTTATTTGGTGATGTCTTTCCTTTTATTTATTTTTGATTATTTGGAATTCACCTAAGAGTGATTTGTGAGACCATTCGTGTTTCGTTTATAATCATGAAGTCACATGAAAAGCAGCACCGAAATCAATCTTAGCCCACAAAATTAACACAATCATCTTCACAATCAATCATGAGATCACCATCGATAGTAACCATAGTTGTATCTTTTTGCTTCTTATCCACACTTTTGTCATACGTTTTCTCATTGTTCTTGAGTTTTTAGCATTCCCGCTTCATGTTTCCTTTCTCATGTCAATAATGGCACTCAATGTCTTTCTTTGAAAAGGAACCATCTCTTGATTTCTTTGAAAAAGAACCATCTCTTAATTGCTTCTATTGAAGCTAGGCACATAACTCATATTCCCCTCCATTGATTTACACAAATAAATAAATTCAAATAAATCGTAAGCTCTGATACCAGTTGTTAGAAAAAATATATTATTTCCCACAAGTAAATCAATCAATGGAAATAAAAACTAATGTGAAAAAATTAAATCAACAACGACACAAGAATTTTTACGTGATTCCCTTAATGTAAGGTACGTCTACGGGTAGTGGTGGAGGGAAGAAGGGACCAGGGGGGTCATGTGGGTCACGTGCCTCCCCTGGATTTTGAGGTTTTTTTTTTTTTTTTTTTGCAAATATAAAAAATATTTTAAATAAAAAAATTACAAAAATATTATTAGAGTGAAATGTCAATGACATTTTAAAAATTATGAGAACAATAATGGTTATTTTGATTGAAAATGAAAAGACTACTATAAATCATATTATCCATGAAAATTTTCGAATGTAACGGTGATGTCATTATTATTGACATCTAAGTATAAGTAATCTCACTATAAATATATGTAATTTATTGGATTGTTAATTACATTTTACATGTGAGGTTCACTCTCTATGCATTTATTTACTATTAGTTGGTGATATCACATACTAATGATAACGTGATATTACTATTATATTGAATTTTTAATCAAATTTTGTATAAAAAAAATAATTTATCATTATATAATTTATTTTAAGACTTATATCTATAATTTTTTATCTTATCCATGATACACTAGTTATAAATAACATTATTTTTTTAACGTTTCTCGAAATCAATCGTAAAAACTTGCGTGAAATATTTTTGTAAAAGTTTTCGATATTGTAATTAATAAGTACCCATAATGATGTCTTCTATGATCGCACCAAATATATTGAGATTGATTGTCACTTCATTCGGCAACATGTTACTAGTGACATTGTTCGTCTTATCTTTGTTACCTCTGCCGATTAGACAACTGACATTTTCACCAAGGCTCATCCTCTAGGACGATTTTTTGATTTACTTTTCAAGCTCAACTTGATATCTGCATTACCATCTTGAGCTGGGGGGGCGTGTTAAATATAATATATTAGTAATATACTATATTTAACACTCTCTATTGGCCAACATGAAGCGATGAATCTCACATTCTCCACCAATCAAAATCTTCACGGAGAACATTCCTTGACCATGCCTTGATTAGCATAGAATAACTTCTCCATCTTGGAATTTCTTGTCATATCCTATCAGAGTCAACCATGGAATTTGCAAACAAGGTGGGGGTCACAAACTCACAAGTAGTGTTTCAACTTTTGATTGCTTTTCCAATCCTAGTTCTTGAGCTGGAGTTGTGAGTTTCTAAACGAACACTTGGAAATTTCTTAATCATTCCAATCATTATTATATTCACTTCCCTCTTAGCACATGAAGGGACTTTTGGGGGGTCAAAAAAAGCCGAAAGTGCAGCGAAATTACCCGCTCTTTATTATATTGGCTCCCTAATTGCGTAACCAAACAAGTTATGTAATGTCCTGAAATCCACAATTCAAAAGAATAATCCATATGGTTTGACATTCAACAATTCTAGCTTTCCTTCTTCACCAGAACCAAGTCCACCGGTTGAATCAGATCACCGGACTTCCGGCCAACGCCATGCCTTTTTGGAACTCAAGATTCAAAAGGTCTGTCCTCCTAATCCATCAATAATTACTCTCTTCCTCAACTTTAACGTGCCCTTTTTTGTTTCGCACTTTTGTCGGACTCAAAAGTGCAGAATTACAAAATTACAAAATGCCGGTGCTACTTATCAAGAGGGAATCACAATTTCAATCGAAACATAGTTTTTAAATAACGCAATTGGAATATATACATCAGTATCAGTTCGATATTTAAAACCCTGATTGAAACTTTGTTCTCTTTCTTTATGTTACTTTGTCATTTCCAAAACCATAACTTTCAAAATTTACATGGATTTCAGGATCCAAGATGAGTTTGAAGTTGAGCTCAAAAATCTCCCAACAACAACCAAGAAGGATCATCACACCACATCCAATTCCAAAATCAATGGAAACAACAGCAAAGGTAGAGTACTATCAAGAGTCTTCTCTGAGGACTATGAAAAGGCCAAGAAGCAATACTCAGTAATGGACCCCAGAGGTCGCGGGGCACGACAATGGAACCGGGTTTTCTTGGCAGCGTGCTTAGCTTCTCTTGTTGTGGACCCTCTCTTCTTTTTCGTGCTCCAGATCAGGCCGGAGGTCTGCGTGGAGACCGTGGTGCCCTTAGAAATAGTCCTCACGGTTTTGAGATCAGTGACGGATTTGTTTTACACAGTCAATATTTTTGTGCACTTTCGGACAGCTTACGTTGCTCCTTCGTCACGCGTGTTTGGGAGAGGAGAGCTTATCATAGATTCGTGGAAGATCGCGGTGCAGTACCTCAACACAGGGTTTTGGATTGATCTCATGGCAGCGCTGCCCATTCCACAGGTACGTAAAATTACTCTATCTCACTATCTCAAAATATTCATAATCATCGAATCATATGAGAATGTTAATGTGCAATAATCTTAATATTGTAAATGTTTTCAACTTTGTTTTTTTGGTTTGGTTGATAGTTGACATTAAGCATTCACAAATGTGTAATCAAAATGTTATAGGTTGCAATGTGACAACCATTTTTTTTCTTTAGTTGTTTTTTTGCTTTTAGTTTAAGAAAAGTACATCAAGGAAATGATACTTGATAGCCTTTGGGGTGGAACCAACCTAACTGCATCATTTGGTCATTGTCATAGAAATTAAGTATTTCATGAAAATTTCATATTTATTGATTGAAAAGTGGCCTTGGGTTTCAAGAATTCTTTTATAGCTAGATATAGGCTCAACCTCAACCTCAACCTCAAGTTTGACTCAGTTCTTTTCATGTTCCCATGTACCTCAACCTCAAGTTTGACTCAGTTCTTTTCATGTTCCCATGTATCCAATTCACTCCGTTAAAAGACCGTCTTGTAAAATTTTAGCATTTCAAAATTTTCAAACACATGATAATGCATTGACTTGTAATAATTTTTTTGGTATGCCAAGCATCATCAAGAATCATTAATATCTCAACTATCATTTTATTAATTAAGTCAACTAGAATTACTAATTTATGTAATGCATTTGCAGGTATTGATTTGGGGAGTACTACCTAATCTAAAAAGTCCAACAATATCAAACATAAACACAGCCATAAGGTTCATAATATTAATACAGTATATGCAAAGGCTATTCATGGCATATCCACTGTCAATAAGAATATCAAAGGCCACAGGAATTGTAACAGCAACAGCTTGGGTTGGGGCTGCCTATAACCTCATGTTCTACATGTTGGCTAGCCACGTAAGTCCTGCAATTTAGTTTAAAAGTTGACTTTTCCTTCTTTTATTTTTTTTTATTTTTTTTATTTTGATTTTTAGTAATATTTTTTTCAATTAATGTTTTTTTTTTTTTACTCAATTTGTCTTACCAATGTCAAAAGGCTCAATTTTTTTTTTCATCTTTAGTATATTTTTTAGGGAGATTTATTAGAAAATCATTTTTCAAGTATTTGCATCCCAATTAGTCCATAAGATATTATTGTATTCCAATAAATCTTATTATTTGAACATTTGATTTACCAAATCCTAATTCTCATATTTAAAATATTTTATGGACATTTCTATCCTTACAAATATTTTTTGAACAGTTAGAAATTTGGTGATATGAACATTCATATTTTACAATGTGAATATTTACATTGATATAACATTCACATTGACAGTGTGAATATTTACATTACAGAACATTCACATTGTAAATGTGAATATTATTAGGGATATTTCAGTAATTATGTCACTCATAGGACTTATTAAGATATAAGAAAATAATGTGAACTAAATGGAATACAAGTAGGTGAAAAGAGATTTATGAAAAAGTGCTCCTATTTTTTAAGAATATCTTTTTCTATTTTTTGATTTTAACATTTTAAAATCATATAATCAAAACACATCTAAAAATAAATTTTTTTGTTAGGCTATAAGTTATAATTACTTTCCCACAGCTCTACCAAACGGGGATATCTCTTTTGAATATATTTTAGTACCAACCCACATGGATATCCCATTGGTAATAAGTTCAGACGTTCAAGGTTAAATTGTGGGCGATTAGTTGATACACAATTGTTTGAGTGGTTACATGTATCCAGTATTTACTCTGTAGATGTGAGTGTGTCCAATATCACCTTGTCTTAGAAGAGTTTTGATCATTAAAAAAATATTTCTCACCACAAGATCCTATGTCTCAAAATTTTTATCCATTTTTTCCAATGCATTTTTAATCGTACGATCAAATCTTGAGATTCTCACAACATTTTATCATTGAGGGGGCAGAGTCTAAAAAACCAAAAGGCATAGAGCAACTCACTTTGCTTGTGCTTGTGACATATGTATAGGTTGTGGGAACATGTTGGTACCTTCTATCAATAGAGAGAGAAGAAGCATGCTGGAGGAGCCTTTGTGACCAATATAACACCACATGTAATTACAACTTCTTCGACTGCAGCACCATGGATGACAGCAACAGGAATTCTTGGATCTTGTCTAGCAATGTCACTACTCTTTGTAACCCTAGTAACCCCTATTACACATGGGGCATCTATGGTGATGCTATGAGGTTTGGCGTTACGTCCGGGCATTTCTTTAACAAGTTCTTCTACTGTCTCTGGTTTGGCCTCAGGAATCTCAGGTACAAAATAAATAAATAAATGTGTGTCTACATGTTTAGCATCAGTTTGTTTAGTAGTATTAACTTGTAATGATATGTGCAGCTCAACAGGGCAGAATCTGTCGACAAGCATTGACATTGGAGAGACTGTTTTTGCATCCCTTGTTGCAACTATTGGACTCATTATCCTTGCATTGCTCATTGGAAATATGCAGGTTTGTCACTGACCTCCTCTTTCCAAGATAATTAAAAGTGATGTTCCATTCCAATTATTAAAATTTCAACACAAAAGCGGAGTCATATTTTCTAGACCACTAGGTATCAAATTGGAGCACCAATTGACCTTTGCTCTAGGAGAGCCCTCAATAATTATTCAACTTTTTCATGTTTCCTAAAAAAATTAATTATTTTTATTTTTTACAAATATTTGAAAATAGTTTTCATAAACAATTCGCCAAACAAGATTTTCTATGTTTGTTCTTAAAATGAAAACAGAAAATAGAACAACGTACGTCCATAAATTTGACAATCCTACTCCGACGGTAAAAGTGTCAGTTCCTTCAATCTTTTTACAAAAATGTCAAATAAAATGTTATTTGTGATCCCAATATTAGCAACGCAATGCAGATTGAACATGTTTTGTCAAATTTTGAATTATAATTTGACAAGATGAATTACACACTATTGAGATAGTTTTTGGGAAAAAATCTTGCAAAATTTTAACTTTAGATGGTGTTTTAGTACACAATTGAAGATGCTGTCAAAATTCTGACATAAAATATTTAGGTGTTGGATAGTCTTATGAGCCATTTTGATATCTCAAAAATTCTAAAATAATTCTCATGTTTTTCAATTTTGACATACGACCCACCTAAAAAAAGTAGTAATTTTTTTCAAACTGGTAGATGTATATACAATCGGCAACAGCTCGGTTAGAGGAGTGGAGGCTAAAGAGAGCTGATACAGAGCAATGGATGCATCACAGACAACTTCCCCAGGACCTAAGACACTGTGTCCGAAAGTATGATCAATACAAGTGGGTATCTACTCAGGGAGTTGATGAAGAATCTATTCTCAAAGACCTTCCTACTGACCTTCGTCGACAAATCAAACGCCACCTCTGTCTCAATCTTGTTCGACGAGTAAGTTCAATTTATTCTCTAGTATTTCATTAATAATCTTTGTAATTCTATTTGAGTCACTAATTCCATAATCATATTCCTAAATTCAGTATATGAAGTAGGTACACAATTTTAAAATTTTCTTGTAGTCCCCTTCATACTGGACCACAAGTAAAACCAATTTATGGACCATAAGATACAAGTTAGCAAAGCCATGTTGATTATTATGACTATACTATTACAACACTCATCTAACATTGTTGCATTGACTTGTTAAACAAAACCAAAACAGGTACCATTATTTGATCAAATGGACGATCGAATGCTAGACTCCATATGCGAGAGGCTCAAGCCCACCCTATGCACCAAAGGAACATTCCTAGTCCGCGAGGGGGACCCCGTCAACGAAATGCTCTTCATAATCCGGGGCCACCTCGACTCCTACACCACCAACGGTGGCCGAACTGGGTTTTTCAACTCCTCCCGGATCGGTCCCGGTGCATTTTGTGGCGAAGAATTGCTGACATGGGCCTTACACCCACATCCGAGTGGCATTCTACCATCGTCCACTAGGACGGTGGTAGCTATCTCGGATGTCGAGGCATTTGCACTTGGATCGGAGGACTTGAAATACGTGGCATCGCAGTTTCGGCGGCTCCACAGCAAGCAGATCAGGCACAAGTTCCGATTTCACTCTCATCAGTGGCGGACATGGGCCGCGTGTTATATACAGGCCTCGTGGCAGCGGTATAAGAAACGGAAGGAAATGGCGGAGCTCCATGAGAGCGAATACGGGCCAAGGTCATTCCGGGACATGGAGAATGTGTTGGTGCCCCAGACCGGGTCAGGGTTAGCGGTGTATGCGGCAAGGTTGATGATGAATATTAGGAGTAAGCGGTACAGGTCGGATTCAGGCATTTTAAGTCCGCGGCCGAAGCCGGATGAGCCTGATTTTTCTTGAGAGGGGGTTTTAGATAAGGGAAGATTCAATCCTTGAAATGTGGCTTTGCAATTGTAATATGATATATGTATACACACCTTCATGAATTGGCATTATTTGTATAAAGTGTTTAAAAAATTGAATGTGTACTAGACCGAACTCAACCTGTTAATGTATATGTGGTATTCCTAAATATATTAGGTATTGATTTCCTAGATATATTTAGGAATAGCCATAGCTAGGTTTCTAATAGGATACTATTTCTCATAATTAGGTTTCTAGTAGGATACTATTTCTCATAATTAGGTTTCTAGTAGGATACTCTTTCTCAACCTATATATACAGGCTTTCTATTATATAGAATACATTCAACTCTACAATCTTTCAATACAATTCAATATAGAGTTTCTTCTTTCTCTTTTCTCTCTACTATTCTAACATGGTATCAGAGCTAGATTAAGAACCTAGTAATTTCACTTCATCGGCGGGCGGCAGCCCCCCAGACCTTAACCTATTCCGTTGTCATATTTTCCTATTAGTATCGCTTCGTGGTGATCTCTTCCTTTTGTCCGCTGTTTATTCCTTACCCAAATATCTCTATCATATATATCTTTTTTTTATCTTTTTTTTTTCCTCCATTCTCTATTTCCCTCCCTCAAATTGTTTTCTATCTTTAACCCTATTTGAGTTTGAGGGGGGGGGGGTATTATACCTATATTATGGTGAGTATGGTTATACACCATGCGAACCACCCAAGCCGCCCCCTTTGGTGCACCATCCAAGCTCTGGCGCACAACCCAAGCCGCCCATTTTGGCGCACAATCTAAGCCTCCCCCTTTGGCGCACTCAGTTATCCGTTGCCATCATCGTTCAGCACCACATCATAAGTTATGTGTGTGCCACGCTTGCTGGTTCAACATCCAATCTTTACAACGGTCTGGCATGACCTTAAACTGTCTCGGCATTAGTTCTGGCCAGCTCCTATAACGGTCCGGCATAGCTCTGCCTTTTAATATATCTCAAGCGCTCTTGCGCTCCCGTTCAGACTTTGCAATCTATTTGCCTTTTATTTTATTTAGTTTTATTTCATGTTTTAGTTTCTCTCTCCAAACTCAAGATGTTTATCCTCCTTGAGTTTGAGGGGGGATGTTAATGTATATGTGGTATTCCTAAATATATTAGGTATTGATTTCCTAGATATATTTAGGAATAGCCATAGTTAGGTTTCTAGCAGGATACTATTTCTCATAATTAGGTTTCTAGTAGGATACTCTTTCTCAGCCTATATATACAGACTTTCTATTGTATAGAATACATTCAACTCTACAATTTTTCAATACAATTCAATATAGAGTTTCTTCTTTCTCTTCTCTCTCTACTATTCTAACATGGTATCAGAGCTAAGTTAAGAACCTAGTAATTTCACTTCATCGGCGGGCGGCAGCCTTGCCTTGGCCGCCCGCCAGACCTCAACCTATTCCGTTGTCATATTTTCCTATTAGTATCGCTTCGTGGTGATCTCTTCCTTTTGTCCACTGTTTATTCCTTACCCAAATATCTCTATCATATGTATATTTTTTTACTTACAAATTTTTTTTCCTCCATTCTCTCTTTCCTTCTTCCCTCTACTTCAACCTCAAATTGGTTTCTATCTTCAACCTTTTTTGAGTTTGAGGGGGGGTATTATACCTATGTTATGGTGAGTATGGTTATACACCATGCGAACCACCCAAGCCGCCCCCTTTGGCGCACCATCCAAGTCGCCCCCTCTGGCGCACAATCCAAAATCCAAGCCGCCTTCTCTGGCGCACAACCCAAGCCGCCCACTTTGGCACACAATCCAAGCCGCCCCCTTTGGCGCACCACCTAAGCCGCTCCCTTTGGCGCACTCAGTTATCCGTTGCCATCATCGTTCAGCACAACGTCATAAGTTATGTGTGTGCCACGCTTGCTGGTTCAACATCCAATCTTTACAACGGTCTGGCATGACCTTAAACTGTCCCGACATTAGTTCCGGCCAGCTCCTATAACAGTCTGGCATGACCTTAAACTGTCTCTCGGTATTAGCTCCGCCCTCTAATATATCTCAAGCGCTCTTGCGCTCCCGTTCAGATGTTGCAATCTATTTGCCTTTTATTTTATTTAGTTTTATTTCATGTTTTAGTTTCTCTCTCCAAACTCAAGATGTTTATCCTCCTTGAGTTTGAGGGGGGATGTTAATGTATATGTGGTATTCCTAAATATATTAGGTATTGATTTCATAGATATATTTAGGAATAGCCATAGTTAGGTTTCTAGTAGGATACTATTTCTCATAATTAGGTTTCTAGTAGGATACTCTTTCTCAGCCTATATATACAGACTTTCTATTGTATAGAATACATTCAACTCTACAATCTTTCAATACAATTCAATATAGAGTTTCTTTTTTCTCTTTTCTCTCTACTATTCTAACACAACCAAGGTGAACCCCCACTTGGATTTAGAAATTTTTATTTCTTATTACATTTTTTTGGAAAAAAAAGACCAATTCTGAATTTTAATTTTCGAGGAGTCAAAGCATGACTGAATAAATTTACTTGGAGAGTTTAAATCATAGTATCAATTTTTTACAAAACACAAAAATTTGAATAATGTTATTATAAAATATTAAATAGAGTCAAAGCATGACTGAGTAAATTTACTTGGAGAGTTTAAATCATAGTATCAATTTTTTAAGAATGCTGGTGTATATCTTCCAATCTCCATTTCTTTCCTCAAATTACCAATTCCTCCAAGATGGGGAAAGCAACCTGTAAAGTAATTTATAACATTTGTAGTTAGCGACTGTTACAAAATTGTGGATAAACAACAATTGATAATTGCAACAGTTTCCAAATGTGTGCTCTGATCATGTATGAGTGGAAATGAAAAGCAATAGGCAAGCAAATTGATAATTGCATATCTTCATATTCTTTTGAAATATTTATTGTATTGCTTAATTATTAACTAAGCAACTTTTCGTTATGACCTCTTCACATTGTTTTCCATCTTTCATCATTATTTTTCTATTTCCCTTTAATAATTTGTGTTCCATAATCGTATTAGTTTTTTTTTTTTAGATAAGGCAAATTATGTTGTAGATCAGAGTATTAGACTTATGAAAAAGAAGAAAATTTTATTTTAAAATTCACCGCGGTGCTTTGATAATTTTTTATATTGATAGTTTCTTATTTAATTTAATATTCATTTTCTTGGCATATCTATTTAAGTTAAGATGGTAAACAATGATAAATATAATCAAATGTGGCACATGGATATGGATATGATCCTTTTTAACGAGAAGTTATTGGTTGGTTCTGAGATATCGTCACGTGATATCTCATATGTATTCTGATTGGTGGAGAGGGTAGAACTTACAATTTTGCATTGGATGATTAATAAACATGAGGAGACATGAGAGTTTGTAATTGGCCAAGAGTAAGGTACGTGATGTTTCTGAACTAACCAATATTTTTTCATTTTTAACATATACTTCTCTTTCCCCTTACATTCTTCAAAGTTTTATTTTCATTCTTGTCCTTAATGCTCCATTTTTTTTTTTTTTTTTGGAGTTGTTCATGACCAAATTTATCTTCTTTTGCTATGTATAATTCTGATAATATTGAATGAAAATTGAAGCTTAATTATATATAATTCTCAAGGGAATGCATACAGAGTATGGATGAATAGTGATGTGAACTAAACTAAGGAATGCATACAGAGTATGGACGAACCCAAATATGTAATAATGCTAGTGGTTCCATTTTTTAAGAATGCTGGTGTATGTCTTCCAATCCCTCTTGCGTGATGGCAAATATGTAATAATGGTATAATGGTATATGTTTTCCAATCCCCATTTCTTTCTCCTTTTTATTTATTCACATATCCGGACCCTCTTGCATGATGGCAAATATGTAATAATGGTGTTTACTTAGCATTTGTCATGCATTAAGGTTCAAACAATCAGACACTTATTCGGACCATCTTGCATGATGACAAATATGTAATAATGGTGTTTACTTAGCATTTATCATGCAATAGGGTTCGAACACTCGGCCACTTATTCAGACCCTCTTACATGATGACAAATATGTAATAGTGGTGTATGTCTTCCAATCCGTATTTCTTTCTCTCTTTTATTTACTCGCGGTGTGAGCGCTCTCTCTTTCCCATCTTGTAAACATTTCCCCTATATATAAATTAAGAGTGTTGAAGAATTTAGCTGTTTTGAAGATTGTAATTGTAAGTACCCCCTTCTTTAATTATGTATGTCTACAGAATTAATTGCTGAATTATCTGATGCATTAATTTGGTGTAAATAGAGACGAGAAGCATTATTAAATTTTCATCAGTATCATAACGTTTGGCAAACTTTACAGAAACCCCTTCAGGCCCTTAATCAGGTCATATTAGACATTGAAAGGCAGCGGCCAATAGGCCGCCTCCACTTCAACAGTAACTTGTGAGACCATATATGTTGTAATTTGTTTATTATATGCTTGTATTATGTGTATTTATATTCCTGGGTTTGTGCCAAATAAGGGTAGATTGGAGCTAGGAGAAGTAGGATGTCACCTAAGTTGCGTCTGTCAACGGTTTAAAAGATAAACGTCTTATATGCAATCCCTGCTAATGGACTAAACCTAAAGATATAGATAAACATATGCCCAGGTTACAGATGAGAGCTTCAAGTATTTTATACTTGATATGCATAGAATTGCCACTAGCACTAGTAAGTGACTGGGTAGTTTTTTGGAAATATCTAGTTAGAATTAATCCTTCTTGTATACAATTCATATCAGCACCGCTATCAACAAGAGCAACTGCATCTTTGAAAATAAAATCAGGTTGAATAACAAAAATAATACGAATATAACATTTTTGAAATGTAACCTGATTAATAAGCATCAAATATTGATTATCTTTTTGTTCAGAAGTTTCTAGAGCAGGACCTTTTCCTTTTGGTTGTGCAGCTTTAAGCTGTCTTATATCGGTTTGTATGGTTTGATTGGCAGTTTGAAGATACTGAATTTCTGTTTTTAAAACATTGATTTCCATTTTTAAATCTTGAATAGTAACTGGTTTTTCAATAACAGGTGAAGATTGTATTCTATTCAAAACATCTTTCATACTGTAAGATTGAAGGGGAACTAAAGGAGGTTCAATAGCATCCTTCTGTTGTTGATAACACGTTTCTAAAAATTTGAGTTTCATTTCTGGATCCTTGAT